TACTTGCCAGAAATAATATTTCATATAAAGTAAGTTTATAGTTATAAAAAAATAAAATCACAAACCTAAATCTTAAACTTAACCACAAAAAAAGAGTAATTGGCCAAAAAAAGATAATATTATCATTTAGATGTAAAATAAAAGTATATCTACATTTTGACCTTCTCAACTATGTCCTTTGTCCCAAATTACCCCTCAACTCTTATTTTTTTTATATTGTATTTTCATCTATGATTATTGACATTACATTGTCCCAATTTTCAGATGTTCGTTGTAAATTGGAAGGATATCACTTTATTTGTCAAAGTAGGTGAATTTGTTTTTAGTTTACACCAAAATTCAATGAAAATGAGTATTTTTTTTTCATTCAAAAACATAAAAAACTGTTCAAATTATAGAGAAATATGAAAACCAACTTAAGTATTGAAAGAATAATATGATAAACTCAATAGTACAGGGGTAAAGTGAGATCAACACCACAATTTGAGGTTGTACAATATAATTTAGCAAAATAAATTACTATATCTACATCTATATCTATATACTACTTTTAAACATTACTTGGAAGGGAAAACCTCTGAATTATCTATTTCTATATCTATACTACTATAAAATGTCAACAAAAGTAAAATTTTATTGATTGATTATTATGTCTCTATAAAAAAAGTTAAAACCAACTATATCTTTGTGTTTAATTATCCACAAGTTACAAGGTATGCATTTAAACCTGTGATTTCTTTTTCCCTTTATTTTACTGCTGTTGCTTTTGATAGTAGAAATTTTCATTATATAGATGATAACAGAATTTAAAGTTTCATTCTTTAGCAAAAATATTTAAAACGTACAAGCAGTTGGTGCATGTTGTATATAATTCTTGTTTATCTGAATAGGTGATTAATGTTTCATAGTAATTTTCATCATACTTGTACTATGTCCAAGGCTACAGTTTCATTTAATGAAGTTTCATACTTTGATCTTGCATATGCTATTGAACAATGCGTGGAATATATTAAGAAAATTATTTATAGGCATAGTCATTAAATTCTATTCCTAATACAAGCTTTGGCAAACTTGTCATAACAATTAAGAGTGCACCCTGCTTTAGTGATTCAGTTTTTTACCATTCACAGATCTCCGACCACCATTGTCATGACAAGGTAAGCTGCTTGGTTGAGTAGAATATTATGAACATAATAAGCAATCTCCAAATTGAATGAAAATCTCAAGGTATTGATTTTGAAGGTAAGCTGATTTTTTTTATTGGCTTTTCATTGGATTTTGCATGGTTACTTTTAGAAAACGTGATGCTATTTTGTTGTAAGAAAATAATATTATTTGGTATATAAAAAGCAAAGAGAGCTACACACATAGGTTAATGCGATCGACACCTACCTTGAATGCCATTTCTTTGTTTTAAATTCTTAACTGCTTTGATTTATGGTAAGCTTTACAAATATGACCATTCATTCATCTTAATTATTAAATTTTATTTAAATTATTATTCTACTGATTCCTCCTTTTTTATCCCACATGCACAAATACTCATCAAACGAAGTGACAACAATACTTGCCAACTTAGATTCCAAATAGCAGTCTTGATGAGTAATTGGTATTCATTTTATGAACTCCTTTTAAAATAATACATATAATTTGACAAAAGCCATTGTAGAAGGATGATGGACTAAAGTCCTTTCAAATCCTAAAAAATTTTCTTTCATTTCACATTTTTCAGCTTATTCTGTTAGCATGTTGTAAAACCATTCTCTGTCATAACAATTAGGCTGTTGAATGTGTGTGTGTGTGTGTGCGCGCGCGCGCGTGTGGGAGCTAAGATCTCTTTCGCTTACTTAGTGCTCCTTTCTTTGGCTTCACGACTTGTTGACCACATTATTGAATTGTTTACTTATTAATGTATTTTCATGTTTTTCTCATTTTGGCATACACAAGTGAGATATCTTAACTTCAGGTCTCATTATTTGTTGCATAGTGACTACTAAACTTATTGGTTTGGCAGAGCAGTTATATTTTCTCAAGATTATTCTGGCTTCATCATGAACTGAATCCTAATTCCCTTGATAAATAAAATCAAAGTAATAATTCAAAATGATTTACGTACAACACATCTATTGGTTTTAACAAGAATACCTTTGACTCTGACCCATTTAGAAACAGTTTTAGAACATCTCCCATTAGTGTAAAGATCTTTTTGGTTCTTGAAGCCTCTCAAACTGTATCCACCTGAGAGTATATCATCATAATGCAATTGGACAGTCCATAATTATAATATAATATTTCCTTGAAGTGATCAGAAAGTGGTTGGGTTGCTTCTAAAAGAGAGGTAAACACATAGTAGAAGGGGAACCAAGAATTTTAATCTTTGCTTTACCAAGATCATAAAGCATTAGAAATGCATATAATATTTTGTAAAGCAGGTCGAATAAAAGTGCCTCTAATGAAATTTTAGTCCCCTAGAATCTAAGTAATTGGGGTATAAAAAAGCATCTTCAAATGAGAGGAATCCATGTTAATTGGGGCAAAGCAACACAAAAAGTATATAAATTCAACAAAAAAGAAAAACAAAATATTCTGTGAAACTTTTTTTCCCCAGAAAGTATATTCCGTAAAACTTTTTCTTTTTTCGAAAAGTATATTCTATGAAACTTTCATGAGGAAGCAGCATAATATTTCGAATCTAACACGTGTTTTACACGAACAAGATCACTAAATATGGGTTTAGGACCTATAAATGGACCAAGGAGTATTTTCCATTCTAATATCTGTATTTTGATTATTTTAGATCACAGGGTGGCTCATAGCATCCCAATTTAGTGACAAATGCTTGTTCGCCAGGTAATGTTTTATGGTTTCGGGTTAGGAAAATAGTCTCTTTGAAAATAGTCTCAAAAAACTACTTATCACTTACTTCTTCAGACTCGGTCATAAACAGAAACCTTGTACCATAAGAATGACCTCTTTTCTATTTACAATCTTAGAACTGCAGCCTATCATCGATGCTAATTCTAAGTCCTTACCTGAAAGAGTGACAAACACATTTTCTCCATTGTACATGAACATGCTTTTTTTTTTCTAATCACCATTTGTATACAGGATTTAGCTTCAATAGCATTATACTGCAGATAACAAAATTTTATTTTCGGTTCACTAGTGAAAATCAACAAAAAAAAAAAATTAAATAAATAAATAAACAGGGTTCAGCTCTCTCAGCACAGTTCCTGAAAAATTTCCATCCTAAAATAAGAAGGAGCCACTTTCATGCATTGTCATGTTTATTATGACGATTTTCCGAACACCAAATAGAACTACTATTAAATATATGAGAGTATCTAAAGAGATCTATCAATAGCTATAAAGTTCGAATAAGGATGAGAGATAATAATAAGCATTAATGAAATATTTATTGTTATCTTATATATTTGTCACGCACTCACTGGGAAATAACATATTGATATAAGTCCATTTGACATATTGTCCGTGGTAGTAGGCGTGATATGCCGAACCTATTTTCCTTTCTATTACTCCATCGTATTATAAGTTTTTTCCTATCCCTACTAGCTAAAAGAGAAATTGTGGGATAAAGGATGTCTATCTGATTTCTGTAGACCTTTCCCAACAATAAAATAAATCAACTTCCCAATAATTATTCCAGATAAAGTTAAAGTTTTATGAAAAATCAAATGGTTCCTGTACCCAAATGGAAGAAAAGAAACACCACATGAATGAAAAACTTCTCATCATGCTAATCTACCTAAGCATTGTTCAGTATAGTTATGCCACAGTATGGTCCCGTAGTGACCCCAAAAGGTGCACCCCCATTCCACCATTATTCTAACAACAGATTCCACCAAACTTATGAGTAATAGAGGATGACCAAGTTACACTCAACATCTTGTGCACCAGTTTAATGTGGACCATTAAATTAATGGATTTCATTGTGTATTGAATACTCAATGATTGTGATTGTAACACGTCAGTTAATAAAAACAAAGTGATACTTAAAGTTCATGTTAATTACAAACGAATCAAAGACTATAACCTGAAAGGATCAAGTGCATAGAACGGGCCACTTGTTAATTTTTTAAAATGTTTTGGAAAAATATTACATATAGTTTGAGAATATTAATAACTCAGAATACTCTATGGGGGAGAAATGTGTGACAAATCTCCTGGGAATCCCGGCAGGTCCTGGAAAGTACTGTTTCCATGAAGATGCAATTATAACTCTTACCAAAAAAGAGAGAGATAAAATGAAAGCGACCAAACCATTGCTTTTGGCAATAGAGACACCACTGCCTACCTTTTGTTGCTGTCATACAACAAATTTAAAGGAAAAAAAACTACTTTTGCTGATCCTTCTTAGTCCAAATATAGCTGCTGATCAGCACACGTCTCCAACAATAAGAGTCAATTCATTATTAACCGAAGATTCTCTTCATTTCGCCTTTAATATGATACACCTCAGTAAGTAGTTTATCAAATCAACGTAGATTGTTTGATCAGTGGTCTTATTATTTTTTTTCTAATAGAATCATTGATCCAATCATTCTCATTTTTTAAATTTCATCATAAAAACCCGTATTGGATCACTATATAGTAAAACTCATATATGTGCATATGAATATAATTATACATAATTAAACTTGGAAGAATTGAGTAAGTTCTAACAAGGAAAAAAAATGCAAAAAAAGCTACTGAAAATAATGCTCAAGGAAAAAAAGAGAGAACCTCAAAAAGTGTTACCAATGGGTACAATAATACAATATGTGCCTAATTTATAGACCTAATACAATGCTATCATTAGATTCGCAGTGGACTCCATTAAATACCGAGACCACTATCAATCCAATAGGAGCAATATGCATAAAGTCCATAAATTCTATTCCAGTAGCATTTCTCGAAAACTTATATATAAGTCTATCTAGACAACATGTTGCAGATAAAATCAAAATAAGTTAAGTTCTCTTCACAACAAGTTAAGAAAAATGGATTCAAAGAAGCTTTATTTGGCTGTAATTCTCATACAGTCCATATATGCTGGCCTGTTCTTGCTCTCCAAGGCTGCATTTGATGTTGGTATGAACACTTTCATCTTCGTCTTCTACAGACAGGCTGCTGCAACTCTTTTCTTAGCTCCCCTCGCCATCTTCTTCGAATGGTATTGAACTTGCTGATTCTCTTATATCTTTCTCATCTACTTCACAACCATGATTGAATATCGATTATTGATTGTTTATTTTGGGGTTTCCAGGAAAACTGCACCACCGCTCTCATTCAGAACCTTCTGCAAGATTTTTATGCTCTCTCTTTGTGGGTATGTTTTACTATAATGTATCCAAGAAACTATATTTCATATGGTGGAAGGATTGAAAGTTCGTTTTGTTTCATCGAAACCAAAAAAAAAACACATTATGTTCTTGGTGAAAACTAAAATGATATTGAAAAATTGAAATTCCCATATTGTGGAATGTTATGAATTGTTTTGGGAAGTTTTAGAATGTTTCGGTAATCTTTCTAAATCAAAATTCAAAACTTTTCCTTTTTCTTCACTTTGTTTTTGAAATATTTTCGAAACATCTTCATTTCCAAGTTAACTAAAATTATGCTCTAAAATGAAACTTTGATCCTTGATGTAGAGCATCAAATTTTCTTGGCAGAGTTTGTTGACAAAGAACTTAATTAACTTTGTTCTTTAATTATGTAATATCAGGATCACTATGTCATTGAATATTTATGGAGTTGGTCTTATATATACATCTGCAACACTGGCTGCTGCAACTACAAACTGCCTTCCTGTCATTACTTTTTTCCTTGCAGTTTTGTTCAGGTAGAAATTCTATACAGTGTTAAATTTCCCCTTCTTGTTTTGGAAACTTTTGTTCCTCAGCATAATATGATTAGTATTTGTTAAGTAGGTCCAACTATGACATTCCCTACTTTCTTTGGGTATGATATAAAAATTACTAGAAAATAAAGTTGAAGTTACAGCTCAATCTCGTGAATTTATTACAAATGAAAATTCTATTTGAATCTAAAAAATTGATATAATTTGTTGATTTAATGACATGACTTCATTGAAACCATTGGATAAACGCCAAGTTTTAATGTTGAAGGAGTCCACAGTTAATTTAAACGTCATAGTGAATTAGGTTAATAAATAAAGTCCAATAATATTGCTCTATTACAAAATTGAGTTGTTTAGGAACAGTCATAACATCTTAGGGTCGTGCTATACGTTTTGATCCCATTAAAGAAAGCATTTAATGCATGAGAAAGACGTTAATATCAAATTTTAACGAGATCAGTGATGTGTCTTGACCCCCAAAGATGTCAAGTGCTCATCTAGTCAAGTGCCCAAAAGATGCTCATCGACTTTAACAGTTTATATCCCGAGACTCCATTATAGGCTGAACTGCAGTTTTGTGTACCGAGTACTACTCAGCATATGTTGCTGAGTGGTGTCATCCTTTGAAAATGAAGGACGGTCTCAATATAAAGAATATATAATGATTGTTTTCCCTTTTAGAAGAAAATATAGTTTTCAAAATTATACGATTCGCGATTCGATTAGTACGATTTAATTCGATCCAGGTACAAAACGATTCCTATCTTATATAAGAATCGTTTTAGAGTTGAATCGTACGATTCAATTCGTATCTCAGGAATCGCACGATTTAATCATTTTTTTTTAAAACTCAATTTTTTGGTAAAATGACGTCATTTTGTCTGCTAAACAGTAAAACAATGTCGTTTTGTTTGCAGAGGAACCCATGTTCTAATAAACACTCAATCTTTTTGCTCGTTCTTTTTCTGACTTTGTATAAAGCTCGCCTTATGTTGTCTAAAACTAAAAGTCACGGCTAACGCTATTGCATCGTCGGTTGATTTTTGATTTCGCATCATCTATTGTCTAAAGTTAAAGGTCACAGCTAACACTCTCAAATTATGATTTAACAACTATGGAAGAAATATTCAATGACTATGATAGTACTTCGATGTTTTTGGTTGAATAAGTAATCGACAAGTTGTTAGAAAATTATACTATTCCCCATAAGGTGATATTTTTTTATGGAAAAGTTGCTTTATGACCAAGCTACTATGGAGCCAATGAATATTATGTCGTCGATCACCTTCAACTAATGTTACTTTTCTAGTTTAAGAGCCACACACTTTAAACCCATCATGAATATGCACTACTTGGGTTGTTAATTTTATAGTCTGTATCTTATTTTTAAGTAGCTTAAGTCTCGTTTGTATCAAAATTTGTTTGACTCATACCAAATTCATCTATAATAATATTATATTGAGTTCGTGCTATATGCAAGTTATGTTTATTGGTGTTTGTCTCATACATTGCGAGATTTATGTCAATCCATTTATTTGACAAATGAGATAAATTCACTCATTTACCATCGGACCCAATAAATTCTAAACTCAAATGCACTAAATTCTTGTCAATTTGACATCGTGTTTATGGATCATATTCAGAATTGTAGGGTTTATGTACTACTATAGCAAGTCACTGCGAGTTGGGTAGTTAAGTTCTCCTCCCTCTTTGAATCTAAAACAGTAACCTCCACAGGGTTAGACAATATGCACATGCAATGTCTAGTCCTTAATGGAAAAAATGCTCCTCAAGAAAGAAAAATGTATACCCACATCTAGAAAGGGGAATAATATATCAATTGTTTCCTCTCAACATTAAGAGCCCTCCAATTTATCCAATTTCAGTCACCCATGGCCACTACTAATCAGGACTTAGGAATTCGGCATTAAGAGTTTTTTGGATGCCATAAAAATTGTAAATTCATGAGAGAGCATGCCTTCGTTCTCTTATGTTCATTTTGTAGGGCTCCTCCTATCCATGAACGTGGTTTGAGTCACAAAATTTCGCTTGTATATTTGTTTTTGTTTTCTTTCATGTTTGTCCGCTGAATAAGTTATCTTCATACGCATAGTCGAACTCTCGATCGAGCTTTCTCCTCCGAGGCTTCTGATCATACTTTCACCTATTTGTCTTAAACGAGTGCAATTTTTGTGTAAATACAGGTTGGAAATGGTGAAATTGAGGACAATTCCTGGGCTTGTTAAGATTGCAGGCATAATAATCTGCATGTTGGGAGCAGCCACCATTGCTTTCTATAGAGGTCCCTACTTGAAACTAATGCTGCATCATCACCTCTTTAGACACCACACCCAACAACATCAAGTTTTTGTTCCTTCTAGCAAAACTTGGGCAAAGGGTGTCTTCCTGATGCTCCTTTCCAATACCTGTTGGGGTTTGTGGCTTGTATTACAGGTAATGTCTTCATTTTTTTTTTTCTGATATGATGGTGATGTTCATTTAAGCTTCTTATATTTAGGCATGTTAATGGATCAGATTTTCATCCGAAATCTGTCTAGATCTGATGGGTTGGTTATGAATAAATATTCTTGACCAATAAATGAATTTGAATCTATTATATCCTATTTCAAGGATTTAGATACATGACCGACAAAAGATTATAAATCTAAGCCAAATTATATGTGTATAAATATATGATGAAATTAAGTGATTATTTAATGAATTGGGTTGAAGTGCACACAAAAATAAAGATGTGCACTTCCAATTTATTTTAGCATGCTATTGTGAGAAAATTAATCAATTTTGTTGTTGAAACAGGGTCGAGTTCTAAAAATCTATCCTTCGAAACTTCTCTTAACAACTCTGCAGTGCTTTTTAAGCACCATTCAGTCATTTATCATTGCCATTTCATTGGAAAGAGACCCTTATGAATGGAAGCTTGGCTGGAACGTTAGACTCCTCTCCGTAGCCTACTGTGTAAGCAAAAATCAAGCCTTCTGCAATTTCTTCTCTTCTTTTACCTACATAAAATTCCTTGATTAGTATGATATTCAAAAATGTTTTCCTTAACTAAACTGTTTATAATCACTTTCAATTGATATGCACATACAAATATTCATTAAACTACATAATCATTGATTAATGCAACGTAATAAAATGTTCCTGGCTTCCGGGGGAGTGAGGGGGTGCGAAGTTTAACCAAAGATACTCAATTAAGCTATTCATAATCACTTTTACTTGATGTGCTTAAGTATGACATGAAAATGAACAAGCTATGAATCATTGATAATAATACGGTGCAAAAAATGTGATTGCACGGAGGGATAGTTATATCTAAAAGAAATCAATTAAGTTGCTCATAACCATTTCTAATCGATAGCCTATATATGATATACAACTGAATGAGCTACTGAATCATGGATTCATGTGATATACAAGGTTGTTATGTCCCGAGGGAGATTTTTAACTAGGAATACTCAATTAAGCTGTTCATAGTCCCATTCAATTGATATCCATACTTATGATAGACCAATTGAATCATTGATTGATGCAATATATGACAATAGTTATTTTCCGTGTCTGAAGGTACGGAGTAATACAAAAAATGGTCAATAATAACTTATTTGTATTCACATCCAAAATCAAATTAAAAAAATAGAGGAAAGAAAAAAAAATTTAAACACTGGTTGTAATAAGAGCAAGCGAAAGTAGTGGTGGTGGGCAGCAATAGTTATGGTGGGAGACGGTGGTAATTATGATGGGCGATGATGATCAGTTGTGATGGTGGCAGCCGTGAGTAACAATGATAATGGTGGTGGTAGGGGTGATGGTGGTAGGGGCGGTGGTGGGACGGTGGTGGTTGTTGTTGTGGAAGAGGTGGTGGTAGGATGACAGCAGTGGTGGTGGTGGTGGTTGAGCTATGGGGGTGGTAATGGTGGTAGAGTGGCAGCAGTGGTGGTGGTGGGGCAATGGGGTTGCTGATAGTGGTGATGGTGGTAGTGGGGCGGTGGGTGTTTAAAGTAAAATTTAAAGAGATCTCAACTATAAAAAGTAAAAGTCATTTTGTTTATCTTTTGAGATTTGAATTATATTATATTTTATTATATAAATATTATAGTCTCAGGGCACAAATTTTAACTAAAGATACACAATTAAGATGTTCATAAATAGTTTGAATTGATATGCATACATATGTATGACATGAAGGTGGATGAACCCTGAATTGTCAAAAAAGTGTTTTCTTCATGTTAATAGAGTACTCAATCCAATGCAATTCTTGATAGGGAGTTGTGGTGACTGGTGTTACATTCTACTTACAAGCATGGGTGATTGAGAAGAAGGGACCGGTGTTCCTAGCCATGTCCATGCCCTTGACCTTGATTTTCACCATCATCTCTTCCGCTTTACTCTTGGGAGAAATAATTAGTTTAGGAAGGTATTTCACACCGCTTTTCCTACGAATTATCCAATTTTTGTTTGATTGCTATTTCGTTATGATTGTTTATTTCTTGTGGTTGTAGTGTTTTTGGAGGAATTTTGTTGGTGGGAGGGCTATATTGTGTACTGTGGGGCAAGAGTAAAGAACAGAAGATGGATGATGCTATTTGTTCAAGAATTGAGGCTGAGAAAGAATTTTCAGTGCCCAAAAAGTCAGTAGAAAGCCAGAATCCATTACCATTACCTGTGTGATATAACCTCTTGTGTTCAAACGATATTCTCATGTACCAAATAGGGATGTTAATCTCAAGTAGATGGGAATTGTATTGTTTTATTGAAGGAAGGAAGGGAGAATAACTAGCAAAAAAGGATAGAATTTAATTATTATTGGTGGACTAGAAAACAAAGGATACTAGAGAGATTTGCAACATAAGACTGTTCTTTTTCCATAGGAATGGTTATTACGTATTAACATTGCTAACGCCACGCTACAGTGGTGTTCAATATTCCACTTCAACCTTTCAGCCTAAAAACATTCCAATTGTTTTTTTTTCAATTTGGTCCTAAAATTTGGTCAGCGTAATATTTCTGTTGTTTTAAATTAAACTCATTTGATGATCAAAACTCACGTCACTTAAAAATTGAAGTACCTCTTAAAAATAGGATAAAAATTTAACTAACAAAGTCTCCTACTTATCACTAAATGTTAAATATGCTTGTGACAGAGGTGCATATGTAGTGTGACGGTAAGGAAGAGTTTTACCCTGAATGAGACCGAGGCAGGATCACTCTTGCTAGGTATTGTGCACATGTACCCTTGGAGGGCTCACCTAAGTGAGGGTAGTCGTGAAGCCGCGACTATGAGAAATGTGCTATTCTTTAGAAACTCTCATGAGAATCAATATCATGTGCAAGGCCATTAATAGCACTGACCCGCGAATCCTGACCAATATCAGTACTGTGTGTGTGATAGTTGAACTCTGACTCAAAGAGTCTAGTTCAAGCTTTTGGTCACTATAATCCTTCAAGGGGAGACTGTTAACATTAAGTGAGGTTCAAGTCCGAAAAAGACCTACACCCATTACACAGTATAATAGTTGTTCATATTTTCTATCTATTATATAAATATATTTGGGTCATTTCGAAGTTTTCAAAATTTGTTGGGAATTGTTAGAATAAATTAAAATAAAAGTTTTAAAAACTACATAACTAATTATTTTGTATTAATTTTTCAGTTTTAAACTAACTATTGCAATTTAATTTTTGCATATTCATGTCATTTAATTATAAAATTGATATAAACTTAATAGCTTGGAAGTTACATACTAATATATTTTAAAGCCTATTATTCAAGAGTAATTAAGACGGTGCCTATAAAATAAGGTGACGGTTTTGGATAGGAGATGAGTAGTTTTACCATTTTTTTATATACTCCTCTTTCACTAAGTGTTGCTATTCTTTTTACATATTTCTTTTTGTCTATTATTACATTTGCATACTTACAAATATTTGGTATTAGTTTACTTCGGGTAATTTCGATTCGAGTCAGGTTCACCCCTTCCTTCTAGTGGCCGTGACTACTGAGGAGGTGCTGCTGCAAGTGTCTGAGTTTGATCTTGGAATCGCTGGTGTTCGTCAGTACCCTCACGCGGGGAGGCTTAGCTACTTTAGGACAGTGTTCACACGACTCTCGGAGTCGCAGACCAGCTCTTTCTAATTTATAATATCTATTTTATTTCATTTTAAGTACATTGTTATTTTGTGTTTGTTTATGTGATATTGATATGAATTTATTAATTAAAATTTTGTATAATTATGCTAATTTACCCAAAACAATGTACCGAAAAAAAAAAGAAGCTTTGTAGTGCCAAAAATATTTTTCTTAGGCCTCAAGCATTATTGGGCTAGATATGGTTGTAGAGCGAGCCTAGTTGTGCCTGAGTCGAAACTAGAACAACTTTAATTGTTGGCTTGGTTTTATACCAGATTTGAGTGTTCTTGCTGGGACTTTTATCAAATTTGAGTTTACCAACAAGAGCCTATCTAACCTAATCATAGCAATTTTAGAATTATATCCTGTTGATCAATTGAAATATGAATCAATAGTAAAACAGAAATTATTCAACACAAAGAGATTTAAGAGCATATTATGAATAGCTCTACTTACACAATTCTTAATTGTTATTGTCTACTATGCAATTTCAGGAATCATGAACACTATACTCAAAACCAATGCCAATTGAAATCAAAATCAAAATCAACAATTGATTCTCCAATAAATGTCACTAATTTTTCCTCATTTTTTCTTTTTTAACACGTGACTCTGCCACTTGTACTAGTCTAGCTGTCACATCATGGTTCAGAGATTCTGACCCCCTTCACATGACCCAGAGAATGTTTTCCATGTGGCACATTAGACAAACCTATATATTTCTAACTACTCCCTTCATTAATTGTCACGCCTCAAATTTCATAAGAGCATGATTAAAAAAACATTGTGTATTACAAAAAAAATTTCTAATTTGTTGTAAAATCATCTATGAAAGTATCCATTTAGTTTAAATAAATAATTTTTTTTAGAAAATTCCGACATAGTTTCCTTTGAAAATCGGACATCTAGATAATTGGTAAGATCTATCTGTGAGAGCATTAAACATAATAATTATACCTAACTAGTCATTCGCATCATATCAATCATATACATCTCTTCTCATGACATCCAAAAATAATTCATTATCGTTCAATACTGGGGTGGCAAATGGAGGCCTACAAAGTCCTCCCAAACTTGGATTATAATCTAATTATTCAAAATTCTTCCTCATAAACATAATATTTAGAATATCTAAAATTTTTATAAGTAAACCATTTAAAAGGTCTCAATCTATACATATTCCCTCAAATTAACCGAGATTTAAATCACTTACAAATCCTCAATAATATACATCATCATACATTATTCTTTTCATACTCTAACTAAATATATAAAAATCATAACAACTATATTATGTTTCGATACTCCCACTATGCAGTCCACTAAATTATGTCAATAACTGAAAATGTTAAATGATAGAGGTGAGCAACCACATGCTCAATAGGATAATCATTTTCTCAAGCATATATAAGATTTTAAATACCAACAATTCACAATCATAATGATAGGTAATAAAATAATTTATCAATAAGTCTAGGTAAACGATAAGTAGTAAGCATTTTTAAAAGTACTACGTGGTATCACTTGAAATACATAAGTGAAACATCAATGAATTTACCACATTGAAATCAAATCTCAAAAAAAAAAAACACTATAAAACATTTCTTCTTAATACATAATGCAACACCATTGATTTTATAAAATACGAAGTGAGAAATCTTTATACAAGTATATGTTTAATAAATTTGGTAAAGTAATCATTTCTTATTTTGAATATAATTTCATGAACGTGTTCTTTCCATAGTATTTTTCAAAAATATTAACTTCACGTACTTTCGCCTCAACCTCACCTTACATCATCTCACTCAAGAGGTTTGTTGGAATATTAGTCTATTGATTTCTTGGCACTCAAAATCCATGTATGTTACCCATACGAACAAATATCATCAAAGCAACACCGGTTCAAGAATGAACCATCCCCGAGGAACTCTTTGGGTTTTGCACCTTAGGGTCTCATCACCCTTCTTGCTTTTTAGGGGGGCTGTGTAGGGCACAACTTGTGATACCACACAGGCTGCCACCAAAACCCACAACCATCACTAATCCCCCTTGGACTAGTAACCACCATGGTAACCCCCCTCAAGGGCCCCAATTATCTACTAATCATCTGCCTGTCAGTACTGAGCATACAAGTTTCAAACCATAATTTCATGATCACTTTCTATTCCCAACACCAACCACAACTTTGACACTTTTAAAAAAATATATAGTTTTACAAAATCTCATATTTCTATTTCCAACATAACACATTTTCAAAATAACTCACATACACACAAAAAATACAATTTGCAATTTTTTATAGCAAATTTCGCAAATTAAATGATTGAGAAGTTTACATAGATAAATACCACCCTTTTCATACTTTAAAATTATTCAACAATACCTCAAATTATGGTAAAATATACTCAATCACATCATAAAAATCAATACCTCTTTCCACAATTTATCATTTCTATACTTATAATCACTATGGCAATTTATCAAATACATGATAAACATAAAGTTTCCAAATACACGTTTACAAAAGAACATACTGATTCTTAAGAGACAAATCAAATACATTATATACAAAATCACATATATTCTAAAGAATCCAAAATCTTAAGTTCTATCATACACCCATAACAAAAATCAAGTTAGGGTTTTAAACCCATAATACCCAAATTTATTTAATGCACGTAGGTTTACAAATTCATAGTAAACTCATCATTTAATTAAAACTCACAGAATGTATTTAGGTCATACTAAAAAAATAGACATAGAACATACATGAGATGCATCAATGTAAATGCAAGAGAAAGGAACAACTTACCTCAAAACTTAAGAACCTAGGCTCTACCTTCAAATGTCAAGTGGATCCAAGAATCCCAAGTAATGTCCTTAGATTTTCAAACAAAAACCCTATCTCTAGAGACTTTGTTTTTCCCTATTCTCTTTCCCTTTATTTTGTCCTAGGGTTCAAAGAAGTATTGGGTGAGAATGGAAAGAAATAATGGGACAAATGGGGTTGAAAATGGTGTTTTAAAACCAGCAAATCCCAAATTTTACTGTTCATAAGGCCAAAAATTGTATTTTTCTTGAAAATTATGGTTTTGCTACTAAACATCTTCAATTTGATCCCTATGACTGCCCTAAGGTTTTTCTTCGTTCCGAAGTCATTTTTAATGTTAATTTAACCTAAAAATAGTTTTATGATTTATCTCAAAATTAAAATCAATTTACACCCAAAATGCTAAAATTACTATTTTACCCCTTTGAACCACAATATGATCTAAACATCTATTTCAAAGTTTTCGGACTTCCCTTATTCAATGGTAATTTTATTTTGACATAAAAAAAAACTTAATAAATTTATTTAATTACACTTATCAACCTTAAACAGCTCAAAAATTAAATTTAACTAAATACGCCTATAACTCAAACTTATGTGACTATTCCTGTAACAACGATTCAAAATTTCTCTCATCATTTTAATCATTTAAAAAAAAATACTATAATTTATATTTTTATGAAATATGGATCTCACAATCCACCCCCCTTA